AATAAAATGAAAATAAGTGAATAAAAACACAACTTAGAAAAGGTTATTATGTTACTAATATGTCCATTTACAATCAATATACTTTTTAACTTTTGCCTAGTTAATTATTGCAACTTCTAAAGCAGTAGGTTCAAATAAATTGCTGTTTACTGGATGTATACTGTTAAAAATGCATTGCTCCAAATCAGAATTTCTATATTTTGTCAGTGGGAGTATAAATTGATATAACCACTTTGGAAAACTGTTTGGAAGTATCAACTAAATCTCATTATATATATAGCCTATCATCCAGTAATTCCACTCCTAAGAGAAAGTTATACCCTCCTATGGCAGAAAACTTGGAGAAAAGCACAGAGAATAAAAATAAACTGTCATGCTAGCATCGAGATAATAATAATAATTATTATTATTTTTGAGATGGAGTTTCCATCTTGTTGCCAAGGCTGGAGTGCAATGGCATGATCTCCACTCACTGCAACCTCTGCCTCTTGGGCTCAAGCAATTCTCCTGCCTCAGCCTCCCACGTAGCTGGGATTACAGGCACCTGCCACCATGCCCAACTAATTTTTGTATTTTTAGTAGAGATGGGGTTTCACCATGTTGGTCAGGCTGGTCTGGAACTCCTGACCTTAGGTGATCAACCTGCCTCAGCCTCCCCAAGTGCTGGGACTACAGGCGTGAGCTACTGTGCCTGGCCAAGATAATCATTATTAATGTTTGTAAAGAAAATCTTACTTTACATAATTATTTTTATAGTAGGCTTACTTTATACAATAATATATTATAAATATATTTCCATGTAATAGAATTTTTCAACTTTTTTTGGGGGAGAGATAGGGTCTTACTCTTGCCCAGGCTGGCATGCAGTGGCACTTAAAGCTCACTGCAACCTCGACCTCCTGGGCTCAACTGTTCCTTCTGACTTGGCCTCTTAAGCAGTTGGGACTACAGGCCTCTGCCACCATGTCTGGTTATCCTTTATTTTTATTTATTTATTTAATTTATAAAGAAAAGAGGTTTAATTGGCTCACAGTTCTGCAAGCTGTACAAGCACGGCTCCAGCGTCTGCTTCTGGGTGAGGGCCTCAGGAAGCTTCCATGTGAGCTATCATGCCTGTCTTCATGGTGGAAGACAAAGAGAGAACAGTGTCACGTGGCAAGAGTGGGAGGAGACAGCTTCTTTGCTTTTAGTAAGATTTATTTCCTCTAAAACAATGACTCGGTTTCACTCCCACAGTGCATAATGAATATGAATGAAAATCATATTTGTAGAGAGGGAACATTCTTAAGTGCCTATTATGTATTAGGCATTGTGTTAGACACTTCGCTATGCTAATTCATGTCATCATAAACTGACCTTAATGAAGTAGGTAGTATTTTCTCCATTTTATAAGTTGAAGAAATTGAAGATCATTCAAATTATGTGTCCTCCTTTCTTTCCTGCCTTGATTTTACACTAACCTGCTCCTTTTGAAGTCTTCTCCAATGTTGTTATGGCAGTTCCATCCTTATGGCTGCCCAGGCAAAAAGCCTCAGAGTCCGCCTCATGTCCTTTCCTTCATATCCCACATCCATGCTGAGGAAACCCTGTCAGTTCATCATCTCCACCACTATCTCTCTGGTCCACTTCTCTATCTTCTTGCCCCTAGATTATTTTAGTAGCCTCTTAACCAGTCTCTGTGCTTTCACCCTCATACCCTACTGTTTATTCTCAACCTAGCAGTCAAAGTGATCCAATTACAATGTCAGAAAATGTCACTTTTCTACACATAATCCTCCAATGGTTCCAACCAACTCACTCAGAGTAAAAGCCTTGCCTGATCTGCATCACCCCCACCTTTCACTTCTCTGATTTCATCTTCTTCGTTCTTTCATGGTGGCCTCTGGATTGTTCCTAGTACACTCTGGCACACTCCTGCCTCAGGGCCTTTGCATTTGGTATGCTTTCTGCCTGGGAAGTTGTCTGCTCAGATATTCCTAACCTCCCGCAAGTTTTCCTCAAATGTTACCTCCTCCAGATTTCCTTGATCACTACTGATTTGCTTGATCACTTAACATAGCACCCCTCATACTTTTTATATACCCTCTCTGCTTAATTTTTATCCACAGCATTTCTTTCTTTTAAGACAGGGTCTCACTCTGTCGCCCAGGCTGGTGTGCAGTGGGCTCAAATGATCCTCCTGCCTCAGCCTCCTGGAGAGCTAGGATTACAGACACATGCCACCATGCCTAGCTAATTTTTAAATTTTTTGTAGATAGGGGTCTTGCTATATTGCCCAGGCTGGGTCTCCAACTTCTGGCCTCAAGCAATCCTCCTGGTTTGGTCTCCCAAACTGCTGGGATTACAGGCATGAGTAACCACTCCTGGCCTCTCCATAGCATTTCTAATCATACAGTAGTCCACACAGTGTCCTTATGTATTTACCATCTGTCTTTCCCACCTGGAAGAGGTAAGCTCCATGAAGGCTGGAATTTTTTTTTTTTTTGACTAGTTAATTACAGTAGTGAGAACGGGGGAAAGAGTAGAATAAGGAGTTCGATCTGTAACTGACTGTGAACAATCAATTGAGATAACTCACTACCTTCAGACCAGCAGAGGGCTGGAATTTTTGTTTGTGCTCTCTGCTGTGTCCTCAACCCCTAGAAGGGTGCCTCGCATGCAAAAGACACTCAGTATATATTTGTTGAGTAAATGAATGCTTCCTCCACATTCCAATTGTTAAAGCAGGCCAAGGGGACCTGCTGTGCAGAACTCCACAGCTTTCTACTCTGATCTCTATCTTGCTTGTTCTTCTTTATCTTCCTCGGTCTTCCTTGTTCTTCTTGACTGCGCTTGTCACAGGTGAAAGGCTGGTGAATCTGGAGAGATACTTATGGCAAGTACAACTGGTGTTCCTGCTGTCATCCACAAGCGCAGCAGTGGTGGTAGACAGCTAGAGAAGAAAGAGTGAAGTTTGCATCCTCCAATTACCACGGCTGCAAGACAGAACTTGAAAGGAGATAAATCTGACTTTGGTTATCTCTGGATGCCATTCATTGAAAACGAAGAGAAGAAGATACTTCCTCCAAAGGAGAATCCGATGAGGCGCCAGCAGGATGCTGCTGCCATGGAAAACGGCCACATCCGCCTTTGCAAACTGGTGTGGCCCCAGCTGGCTCACCGCAGGTTTCAGCCACTCCAACCACAGGGCTATGAACGTGCCAAGAGAGCTACCAACCAAGAGTTTCTCATTCCTCCTCCGGGATTTCAAGTCCAGAAAGCAGAATCTTCACTTCGGGGCCCAAGCATGCAAGGGGTGTGGGAGACGGAGGAATGGGGAAGCAAGGCGGAGCTGCCCAGCCTGGCAATGGCACAGCCGCGGTCTCTGATGCAAAGGCAGCCGTCCATGTAGGGTCAGCCCCGGGTGGGAAGGCTGGGCTCTAGGAAGGATGTCGAGGCATCGGGCAGTGCCCAAAGCCACCATCTCAAGCGTGGTAGTGGGGAAATGGAAGTTGCACCTGCTCTGTCATCTTGACTTGGGGAAGTTTCAACTTTGTTGTAGAACAGTCCAAATTACAGCCTTCATTTCTTGCGAAGGGGTGGGGGTGGGGGAGTTGCCAGTGAACTTGTGACACACACACATACCACATAATCCCTAACTCCACAAACGACTCCACTAACGCTAAGGTTACCCTTAAAAAGCAAAACCGAACCGGCAGGCGTCCTCCCTCCACCCTGGCAGTTCATTAACGTCGGCCAAGGCCACACTTCCCCCCTGCAGGGGGGGTCTGACAGGAGAGTAACAGGAGAACGTTTGCTTCACTTGACTCTGCTCTCTCAGGACGGTATCAGCATTTTAAAATTCGCGCCTCAAGGAAGTTTGGGGTCCTTTTTATCATTTGTCCTATAGGACAAGGAACAGGATTAAACTGTGTGGGGTCAGCAAAGGAAAGAGGAGCGGGGCCCGGGCGCCGGTGGCCGCCCTCAAACCTTTGGGAGGCGAGAAATCGGAAACGCCCGTGACATGCGGCGGCGTCCGACTCCCTCCACTTGGCAGAACCCGAGAGACGAGCCTTTGGCGGGACCGTGAACAGTAGTGCTGTGTACGGCGGTGTGCGTGCGTGAGTCAAGAGTGTAGCTCCGGCCAAACCCTAATCCCAAAGGGGGGCGTGATCCGCGGCGCCCCGCTCAAGTTTCGGTGGAAACTTTCCCGCAGAGGCTCCTCCTCCTTCACCTTGGAAACCAGCGTGGGCCGCGCGGCGCGGCGCCGCCTGAGACCCGGGCGCACCTGGCTGCGGCGCGTCCCAGCGGCAGGGGCGGGGCCGGCGGCGGAGGGGGCGGGGCCGGGGCGCGCTCCCCGAGGCCTCCGGGCAGGTTGGGCCCCGCCCCCACTCTTGCCCCGCCCCGCCTCGCCCGGGTCCCCGGCCCGCCAGTGCTCCTGAGGGAGAGGCTGGGGAGAGCCCGGGACCCACGCGGCTCAGCCAGTGGCTGACGCACCCTCGAAAAGTTGCGCTCCGACCTTCTCACGACCTACATTCTTCCCGGGCACTCCTGAGTTTGAGTCAGGCCGGGAGGACCTGGGCCGAGACTTTCCAGCGGCGACCGCCAGCGGGGCGAAGAGCCGGTCCTGCTTTCCTCACGGGGTCCCGCGCGGGTGTCCCCGGGACAGCAGCGCAAACTTTCTGTACTGTCTGAAGACACTTGTCCAGCGAGCCCCACTGCTTGGGGAGGAGGAGCCACGGCCGGAGACAGGTAGGGACTGTGCTGGCCGGAGATTTGCGCTTGAGGGATTCTTTTATTTTAGGGGGTTGGAGGAGGGAGAGCCGAAATGTCCCTTCTCTGCATCCGCCAGCTGGGCTGGAGGAGCCGGCATTGGGCTGGGGGCCGACTGGGGATGTTCCAAATGAGGGCGCTGCGTCGGGCGGGGGCGCGGGGTGGGTGGGGGGAGGAGGTGGCTCCCAGGGCAGCGGGCCCCGGGACAGGGCGTTACGCGGTGACTGACCCTGGAATAGAGAGAGCCGGCTTGTTTTGGCGAAGGAAGATGTATCAGGGCCCTCCGTCCCATTCCTTGGTCCCTGGGTCCTCTGGGAGGCACAGGCAAAGGCAAGGAGATGTGGAGTTCAGGTTTCCCCGCTAAACAAACTTGCTTACACCGGAGACTGAGGAGGTGCCCGTCTGAGGTTTGTGGCCCTTTCCTGCTGTAAGGACTTACTTGTTGGGCAGCTGTTGCTCAATTTCATAAATTCTCTGATGAAACTGCATTCAAATCGTGGTTGTTATTGATAGTGTGTGTGTGTGTGTGTCTGTGTTTCCTCTGGCTCATCAAAGGTCCCTTGTTAACTCCACTTCTGCTAGGGAGTGGGAGGAACAACCTGCTGTCTTATTTCAGGCCGGGCCAGAGAGAGGTGTCGGTGCAGGCGGCGGTAGCCTTGTTGGCTTGAGACTGTGGGAATCACATGAGAAGGTCTAGTCAATTAGCCCAGTTCCGTCCCAGCCTCCTGGACCCACCCATTCACAGCAGATCCAGCTTCCACTTTTCAGCAGATGCTGCAGCCCCAGCCATCCAGGGACAGGGAAACCTCCCTGAAGGGAAAGAGCCAAATATTGAGAAGGAGAGACAGCTCTCAGGAGGAGAAGGAGTAAACAATGCCTACCAATTGTTGCTTCCCTGTAGATTGGGCTTGCTCCCTTGGCTTCTCTGGAAGGGCTGTGCTATCAAATTCATCTCATTAGGAAGTCAGCTGCTCCCTGCTAATAGCCATAGCAGCTCTGATGAAATTATATAGGTCATTGAAAAATAATTCCTGCTTAATCACCTTTATCCTGTTGATTAATGAGAGGAAAGATTTCCTCTCCTTAATGTACCATGCCTACTTGTCAGGGTCACCTGCCTGACCTCAAGTTCACCTGTACACCTGGCACTAGGCAGAATGCTGTCCCTGAAGCTGCCAACATGTATTGAGCCACAGCTGAAGTCCACATTTGAAGAACTTCAAACGCTTTCTTTGGACAGAAATTGAGCAGGAGACTTAGTCCATAAACTTACTCTTTAAACATACTTGTTAGGTTTAGGTAACTTTTCACATAATTAAAGGTCGATATCTTTTTAGCTCCAGTTAATCCCTTTCCACAGAGCTCATAAGAATTATGTCCATGCTTGTCTTGAAATAAATTAAGTTTGCAGTCCTGTTTGTCATTTGCCCTATATGACAAGGAACAGGATTAAACTATGTGGGGTGGCTGGAAAGGGTCAGAGAAACTGGACATCACTGAAATGGATTCAGAGAGTAATTAAGAGTAGTGTAAAAATTTAGGTCCAACTGCCCCGCTACCTTCCTTCTTGGCTCTCATATAGAGGCATTATGTGGGACTTTTAATGGAGGACTTGAAAACTAGAAATAAAAGGAGTGCTTTATTTTTACAGAATCAGAGTAATGCATTGGTGAACAGTTCTGTACTCTACCTCCTAAGGTGGGTTCAAAATACTTTCTTTGCAAAGTTCTTTCTTTAATAGGAACTTGATAGATAATGACTGCAAACAAGAAGCAGATGTACAAATATATTATGTAGAAATATGGAGGTAAAATGAGAAAAAACAAGAATTGACTCTGAGGAGTGAAATTATATTCTTGTATTATTATTATTATTTTTGAAGTTAGTTAGGGTCTCTCTCTGGCCCAGGCTAGAGTTCAGTGGCATGATCTTGGCTCTCTGCAGCCTCGATCTCCTGGGCTCAAGCAATCCTCCCACCATAGTCTCCTGAGTACCTGGGACCACAGGTGCATGCCACCACACTCTTAATTTTTTGTATTTTTCGTATAGACAGCTTTTGCCACGTTGCTCAGGCTGGCCTTAAGCTCCTAAACTCAAGTGATCACCTGCCTTGGTCTCCCAAAGTGCTGGGATTACAGGTGTGAACCACCACGCCTGGCCTCTTGTCTTACTTTCATAAGGAAAATTTAATAAGGAACCTCTTTTCTCCCGCAAATGTAAAGCAAAATTGCTTTATTTAATCTGTTTAGACACTTGATCTTTATTCGGTGTACATTTGTCTTCTAGGGGGATACATGGGCCCAGTGAAGGTCTGGATCAGAATCTGGCTTTGAAACAGTTTAGATCTACTTCATCCTTATTTTCAGCAACTTCCAACTCTTGGTTTTTAGCCTAGGTAGGGGAACAGTGGTCAAGAGTGACAAGAAACTCCAGGGACTTCATTTGTAGGAATCTTTCAGTGAAGACAGTAACAGAAGTGAACAGTTCTCTAGTGCTTTATGATTCACAAAGTGCTTTCATGTACCATATTTGTGCCTTGTGATTTAACCATTTTGCAGTAGATGCCCTTGTATTTAGATTACACGGGAGGAAAGCAGATGAGATTCAGAGATAATAAGGGACTTTTATGTACTTACTTTGCTCCTGTATATTGTGGACTCAGACCTGAATTCAGGATTTCTGATTTACAAGTTTTCCCTGTTACATTTGTGAAGTGGTTGGATGCGAAATGGGCTTGGCTTTTCTTTCTCTCTCTCCTTCCTTCCTTCCTTCCTTCCTTCCTTCCTTCCTTCTTTCCTCCCTCCCTCCCTCCCTCCCTCCCTCCCTTCCTTCCTTCCTTCCTTTTCTTTTTTCTTTCTCTCTCTCCTTTCTCTTTCTCCTTCCTCCCTCCCTGCCTCCCTCCCTTCCTTCCTTCTTTTCTTCCACTTATCTTTTCTTTACTTTCTCATGGAGTTTCACTCTAGTTGCCCAGGCTGGGCTACAATGGTGCGATCTCAGTTCACCATGACCTCCGCCTTTTGAGTTCAAGTGATTCTCCTGCTCAGCCTCCGGAGCAGCTGGGATTACAGGCATGAGCCACCACGCCCAGCTAATTTTGTATTTTTAGTACAGACGAGGTTTTCCCACATTGGTCAGGCGGGTCTCCAACTCCTGACCTGAGGTGATCTGCCTGCCTCGGCCTCCCAAAGTGCTGAGATTACAGTCAGGAGCCACTGTGCCCAGCCCTCTTCCTTCTTATTAACCAAAATGTGAGCTCATGTGGAGACAGGATGACAGAACTATATGTGCATATATGTGTATGTATGTGTATATGCATATATGTGTATGTGTAAGTGTGTATATACATATAACGTATAGTCTGTATAGCTTTGGCATCTCAACAGTATAGCTGTACAATAAAATTGAAGTAACCTCCATTAAATTTGGGAGGGAAATCTTGGATGGTGGCATAGGTGAATAAATAACCTGATAGATTGAATAAGGAACTTTGGCAATGTCTAAAATTGAAAAACTCTGGAAATAGCAGTATAAGTGCATGATTTAAAAATAGAGAAGTAATTACCAGAAGAAATAGCTAGAAGAATTGAAGGACCTTCTTTTGGGGAATGAAACTCAGGAGTGAGGATGAGCCAGGCAGGAATCTACTGTTTTTGGCTGTGTACCTTATAATATTAGATAACATTTTATACTGTGTACATATGTATTTCTTTATTTTATTTATTTATTTTTTGAGGCAGAGGCTCCCTCTGTTGCCCAGGGAGAAGTGCAGTGGCACGATCTCAGCTCACTCCAACCTTTATCTCCTGGGTTCAAGCGATTCTCCTGCCTCAGCCTCCCGAGTAGCTAGGGCTACAGGCATGCACCAGCATGCCTGGCTAGTTTTTGTATTTTTAGTGGAGGTGAGTTTTCGCCATGTTGGCCAGGCTGGTCTCGAATTCCTGGCATCAAGTGATCCACCTGTCTTGGCCTCCCAAAATGCTGGGATTATAGACGTTAGCTTCTGAGCCTGGTCTCATATGTATTACTTAAAAAAAACTCTTTGGCAAGTATGACGTGAAGGTCTTTTGTTATAATTTTAGAGCCAAAAAGGACCACATAGATGATTTATTCCTAGGTCCTTCATTTTACAGGTGAGGAAATTGAGGTATAGGAGTTTAAATGTTTTGTTCATGGTCACATAACTGAAGAGACAAACTTTTCCTGGACAAGGTCACGCCCTTTCCCAGGCAGGTAGAAAGTTTTACCTTGCTCTAGTGATTCCTCAATTTCCTTTCTAGGCAAATCTTTCTCCTTCTATCTAGTTTTTTTTTTGTTGTTGTTGTTGTTTGAGACAGAGCCTCACTCTGTCGCCCAGGCTGGAGTGCAGTGGTACAGTCTCGGCTCACTGCAACCTCCGCCTCCTGGGTCCAAGTGATTCTCCCACCTCAGCCTCTTGAGCAGCTGGAACTACAGGCATGAGTCTCCATGTCCAGCTAATTTTTGTATTTTTTTTTTTTTTAGTAGAGATGGCGTTTCACCATGTTGGCCAGGGTGGTCTCGAACTCCTGACCTCATGATTTGCCCTCCTCAGCCTCCTAAAGTGCTGGGATTACAGGTATGAACCACAGTGTCCGGCCTCTTTCTAGTTTTTACAATCTTTAAACAGGTTACTGGACTATAGATTCAAAAGTATGTCTAATTCCTTAAATTTCCATTTTGAAAATGCTTTAAATGTTTTTAGAGTCTGCAGAATTTGTACCTTTTTTGTTGTCAATTCTGTAATTACTTTTATTTAGAAATAGGGATGTCTGGTTTGTCTGCAACTGTTTAGAAGCTGGAATTGTTGCCCAGTTGAATTTGATAAATACTGGAATTCAAGCTAAACTTTTATCCTCAGGAGACATTACTAAGGGGAAATGCTAAGGGAACGTTTCCAGTATCTATGCGTTTTGCTTAATTTTGAAGTTCTGTGAGTGAGGATACTACTGCCTTCTAAAAGA